GTATCAGTGGGAGCTTCATGAGCCTCTTGTGTTTTGAACGTTAGAATTGTGCAGTGGTTGCCCCAGGACTCTCCCTGTAGCTGGGGTGAATATAAATGAGAGAGAAATGGGGCGTCCACCAAACACAAAGCGGAAGAAGAAAAGGAGGAAGGTGAGAAAGAGGAGCAACAACTGCTTTTGGGCTCATGTTCCTCGGTGGGGGATGTGCAGGGAAGGAGGAAGTTAGCTTGTCTTCCTCCTCTCCATCTCTCTCTCTCTTTGTAACCTTTCAAACATGCGGGAGCATTTTTGATTTACAGCCATCACTTCCTACAGCCCTGTTCTCAGTTTCAGCAACATTATGCTTCTTATTTTAACATCCCCTCCACATCCCCTTTGTGTCTTATCGCTCTCACTTTCTCTCATCTCTCCATCTTTTTTCTCACTGCGGGGTGATTGGAGAATGATCTGACTGTATCTGTGGATTAGGTGTGACCCTGGAGGTGTTTCTTCTCTGAGTTAATCTGCTCAGTACAGAGAAATCTGATGATACACTGTAACCCAATCATACATACAAGTTGCTTTAACACTGAATGAGCATCATGTTGTCATTTCGAGATTCTCTGCTCTAAGCGATATAGCATCTCACAGGAACAGCTCAGATGGAACATTAGGCTGTTTTCACAGCTGATAGTCTGGTAGACTCAGTTTGATAGAATGGACACATTTGTCACATTTTCACTAGGTGCGGTTTGCTTTCACATTGCACTGTATCAAATGAACTAAGCGCTTTGAAAAACCTGTTTCACCCCCTCACCTGTGGTGGCGCTGCAGCAGGAACTGCTGAAGGAAACAATGACACTGAGCACCACTTCCTTCTTTACAAAACGTAACCAAAAATTGAGATTTTAGCAGTTGTAGGATTTCTCTTTTGTTGTTGACAAAAGACTGAATAACTTCAAGCCAACCAAATAAACCAAATAAAATAAACAAATTCCCGCAAGGGCTACACATAAATGTTTGTTTTGGAGCTGTCTCCTGTCCGCTTGGCGTTCGAATCGCACCAGAGTTCACTTCAACTGAACTGAGACCTAGGACCTAGGTTTTTAGTTAGACCAGAGAAACTGGTTGCTCAATGGTACACAAATTACATCATCGCAGTTTTGACTACATATTAACGCTGACAGTGAGGAACACACGACCATCTTGGCTAGAACCAAACCAAATGTTAACCGGCTAGAGTGATGCTTGACAATGGAGAAGGAACTTTTGTGTGCAAGAACGGCCCAAACTCAATCATGAATCTGTCAAGATTTGCAAAGTAAAGTTTACAGAAACTCTCCATCTGCTTAGAAGTACGGGAAAACATTTTATACTCTGGAGGTGCAAAACTGGTAAAGAAACTTACACCTGTCCCTACAGATTAAGGTGATTCTTCATGGTGTTGATTCATGGGCTTTACTAAAAAAAAAAAAAAAAGACTGAAAACCACATATCTTGTTCTTTTCACTTCACAACTCTGTGCTGACCCGTATCACGAAATCCCAATAAAATATCTCAAATCTTGTGGACGTAGTGTGAGAAAATGCGAGAAGGCTCGAGAGCTCCAGATAATTTAGTCCCACCGCCGTGGATTGTGTCCACATACAGTTGGCAGCAGCCTCATGCAGCATGTGGTATTTTTCACCTACTTGTGCAACAGAACAGTGTTGCAGTCTAATATTAATTTGATACATATCCACTAAAAATAAACACAGCAGCACCGAGTCACAGTGAGCGGCAGAACGTCTCTGTCCATACGGTGGAAGCTTGCCTCCTCGTTTTGTAACATCTTTAGGCCCGGCGCTGCTTTCCAAGTTCCAGCGCATTAATATTCATCAGGATAGCTTTAATCTCTCGAAAGTGGGTTATTGGCAAGTGGTAGATGTTTCTCCTCTATTCTCTCTGCCTCATTCCCCTGATTAACTCTGCTCCTGTGTCTCAGTGTGATTATAAAAAGGGGTGGGGGGAGAAAAAAAAAGTGCATATTCATGTGGAAGATAGGAAGAGAGGTGTGTGTGTGTGTGTGTGTGTGTGTGTTGGGCGGGGGGAAAGAGTTGTATAAGAGATTTAAAGTGGGTGACAGCAAACAAGGGAGACAGAATAAAAGAGACAGCTCTGACGTCACGGGCGCTTTAACTAGGTCAGGCATGAGGTTGTGATGTCACTTACTCCGGAGCCATCCCACTGGGCCAATCATCTGCAGGGACACGCCCCCTTTTGTTTCCCCCAGCCGCACCCCCAACCTCTGCGCTGGTTTCCAACAGCTGCCTAGAGTCACACATAGAGATGCACACACACATCTATACCGTCCTGCGGCTGTAAACATGGATACAGCCGGGGCTTCTGGGAGAACAGAAGAGGGGCTGATCCACAGCGAAAGTTAAAAATGACGCCAGTATCTCAGCTGCAGATGCTTATAGAGAGCATGGGGGGGAAAAGATTCAATGCTATTCTCTTCAGATTGTCATATATTTATTCATCTAAAACAGTGTGTCTGCTTGCTTTCTGGAGATTATTACCATTTCTATACATCTGATGGGCTGTTCAGAGAGCATATAGCAGTTCACTAAATCACGACTCCAGAATCTCTTTGCCCCAAACAAAGTTGTGTATGCTGAATTCAAACCCTCCCAGGTAAAATTAGCTCAATATTTTTGGTGTTTCTGCTGTCGATCAGATGCTTTAAAAACAGGCATTATTACCGACCAATATCAAGACACCATTTAGTGTCCCCAACGCTGGAAATTTGTCTCGGTAATGATTAATCAGAAGGTACTAAAGTACAGTTTACAGAACGAGCAAAATGCAAATGTAAGCAGATTTTTGACCAGAGTTGGGTGAAAAAGGGAAGAATCGATTTCTCAACAGTGGCCTAATGTGACCTTCACAATTTCTAGACCTCAACACCATCTTTGAATGAAAACATTTCCATTTTTTTCTGTTTTGTGACATAATGTTTCTAAATACATTTCAACTCTATAGGACTAGTGGAAACCGTGTAACCCCTTGTCCAATCGGAACAACGTTCAGCAAGCCTTCATGAGTTTGACTCTGAGAAAAATCTGCAATTCCTTTTTTTTCCCGGTCTTCATTCTTCTTCCCTTCTCGCTCCTCTGCTTCATCTCATACATTTCAGCTTGCTAAGCCTCTTCACCATCTCAGACGGCACCAAAGAGGACGTCTGTGGCGCACACGGGGAGCTATTTCTGATGTTCTTTTGACTCCCAGCATCAAACAAATCCACTTGGCCTTCATCAAGCCTCGGTTTGTGTGGAAGAGAGAGGCTGCGTTGTAGGGATGGAGAGATTCAAACAGAGCTGCACGCAGAAACCGACTCGCCTGTGTAAAGACTTCATTTGACAGGGACGTACAGGGAATAAAAATACAAAAAACACGTTGTGAGGGTGATGCCTTTAAGGTCTTTTTTAATGACATGCAGAAGTATCTCGCGTTAACAAAGAGGGAAATGAAACCCTGATACTGTCAATCTAATTATCATTCCACATGCAAAGATCAGCTGATCTGTTTCCTTTCTGTGCAAAAAGCTGTGCATGCTCTCACCTTATGTGTTAGCAGATCAAATTAGCCAGAAATTAGCATTCACGAAGTGCAACAAACACCGCAGTCGATTGTGTCAAGTTCACATCGTCTCACACGTGATTTGGAGTCCCAGATGTAGACGCGTAGATACCGTTCCATCTGCTGGAACCTTTGGATGTAAAAATAAAATAAAATAAAATTTATATAATTAATTAATCAAGTCCCAGTCTTAGTTGTGACAATGTTTGATTGCATAAAAGCAGTTCAATACTCGTTCTGAACCACTTGCTTAGCTTGTATAGCTTAGCTAGCTTGTATGGCTAACTCTAACGCAGGGGAGTCCAAAGTGGGTCCTCGAGGGCCGACATCCTGCATGTTTTAGGTCTCTCTCTGGTTTAGCGCACCTGCATCAAATGATGGCTCATTAGAGGCCTAAGGAGAACATTGACTTGCTGAGGAGGTTGTTACAACCACTAGGGAGAGAAATAAAACATAAAAGATGCAGGATGCCGGCCCTCGAGGACCGACTTTGGGCACCCCTGCTCTAGCGTATTCTGTACATGTTTTCCTTTTAAATAAATTAACAATAACAACAGCTTACATTACTGTAATAATAATGATGGGGTTTGTCGATTTTCACACCTCGTTTTTCATGACCAGAAATGTTTAAAAATAGCTATTTGTTCACCCTGTAAGAAGGTCAAATTGTTGTAGCATTCCTTCAGTGAGTCGGCCACCAAAGTGTAACATCAGGTTGGTGGGGGGCCAATGCTGCTTTTGTGTCTCCCCCCCAAAACAAAACGACCTTCCTTCATCTGCCTTTCTCTGGCATCTAATTTAAAAAGTTTACACCATAATAAGGCTGTGATGGAAAATGTTTAGCGGTTTTTCACTTTGGTCTTAGAAAATGGCCAATGCCTAATCATAGCGCATGAAACCAAAAACAAACAACGCAACAGAGGCGACGTTTCAAATCAGTCTTGAAGTAGTCAGTTGTGTTACATTACGGTGCCAGTACACAGTGTCTGTGCTACTTGTTCTCTCAAGCTATTCATCACAAATTACAGTAATACTCGTGGGTCTGGCAATCATCCACTACTTTCAACTTTTTTCTTTTTGCTGTATATCCTTTTCCTGTCGGTTTTGTTGTTGCTGTGTTTTGTTCACTTAAGTTTGAATTACACTGAAGTGTATTATGTCTGTCTACCAGCAGAAAAAGAGACCAGATGGTGTGATTAACATTCTAGGGCAATAAGACACGGCGGTGAGAAAAGAAAACAGCCTCTGCATGTGCATACAACCGTCCAATCTGAAAATAACCATTTCACAAGACAGAGCGCAGAACAAAACGACATGTCCATCAAAGGAATTCGTCCCGACAGTTCACAAAGGAACGAGCTGATAATTTACAAGAGTCGGCTCTTCTTTTTCTGATATAATCCAGAGGCAGGTGTGGCTCTGCATAAATGCAAGTCACAAGTTTTAGAATTTGATGTGATTCAGCAAAATTCTTACATTTTTACTTGGTCGTCTTTTTTTATTATTTTGTGATGTTGGCTTCAATACCCTGAGAGTTCTAAGTATGTCGCAGTTTTGAGTAAATGTGAAAAAAAAAAAAAACCCACATCAAAAGCGTCATTTGCCAAATGCAAACGTTCTCTGGCAATGACTGAGAACACAGTCTTACTAACAGACTCACAGTGCTTTGCACATGAAGGTGTGGCGTCAGTTGGTAATTAAATTTGAATGCTGTTAATTGCTCCGGATAACTGTGTTGCATGTAGGTTAAAGGTCAAAGGGAGTCACTGAAGCTAAATCAAAGAGCGACCTTCTAAAATGACTCGATTAAAGGGAGAACACACCCACCACAGGGCTGTGGGAAAGTATTTGCCTCCTCGCAGATTTTGTTTGTGATTTATTGTCAAAAAAAACAACCTATCTCAATACAAAAAAAAAAGATTTCTAACAATGCTGCTCAATTTTTAAGGGAATACATTGTCGAAACCGACCTGCCTGTATGAATAAGTAATTGTGCCCTAAACCTAAAAACTGGTTACGTCACTTATTGCCCCAATGAATATCCCTGAGCATATTCAATAACTGGAAATAATTTTGGTTGGACCATGTGGTAGACTTTTGCGTCACTTTCCTTATTATAATTTGTTTTATTTCGCAACATTGGAGGAGTATGAACTGACGCCATCCACGAGAGTTAGTCTTATTTGTCACATATGGTGTGTGGGACACCATATGTGTTTCAATATGCCACATTAACATTTGTTGTTTTTTCACTATTTTCCCCTCATTTCTCCTTTTCCTACTCATGATCCTTCCACAGCTGCAGTGCATTCATTTAACTTGGTTTACCAATGTTTCCATAATCACCTCCTCAGCGGCAGCTAATGTCTGTCCAATGAGGGCACTCCTTGTCAGAACCTTCCGTAGTCATTCTTTCTTCATTTGCGGTCTGGACCTCTATTTTTCTTTTTAATAAATTACTACAGGAAAAAGAAACAGATCAAATGTGTTTTGTTTTTTCATCAAGTGGCAAAAATGAGGCATGGAAAGAGCAAAACTGGGGATGACTCATGTCTCAGTAACAAAGCATACGGCACTTGCAGACAGTTTAATTCGCACACTATGCATCTGAGCGATCAGAGGCCGCTGTGTTGCAGATTATTCATTTATATTTTTTTCTCACAGACATCAAAGAGTTATCGGTAATGAAACTCGTCTGGAATCTGAAAAGAACTTGCCACATTGTTGAAATTCGGATGATGAAGGAGACCGTCTCCCTCGAGCCAAACAAGAGTCAAACACACAGGCTCAGCACCCAGTCAGGAATCTTGTGAGCAAAAATGGTGAAAAGTAATATTTTAGAAAGTTGAATTTACATTCAGATGCTGGAAGAAATAACACAAAGACAGACAGTCTCACCAGTGTTGTTTGTTACACAAATAGAATCAGCAGCGTAATTACTCCTTGCCACGTACACAGTAATGTTTGGCAGGTCTGCAGGGTCTTTTAAGTATGTGTGTTGCCTTTGATGTGCTCTCGGTTTGAACAGTGTGTGTGAACTGGTTCGTGGGAGTGGAAACCACAGTGTTCTATGTTACACTAAGAAAAATGTCAGGAAATAAAAAAAACAAAAAACAAAAAAAACAAAACACAAAGAATCCTGATAGAAAATCACCAGGATGTTTTCTGTTAATTGTAAGGACATTTCCGTCAACTGTAAAACATATTTTTACCATGATTTAACAGTTTGTCAATTTATTCACATTTCTGTTAATCCAAAACTGGAATTGTTTGCATTTTTTGGAGAATATTTCTTTTTTGACCCAACAATAGAGTAAAATCTTTCTCAAAAACTTGGACTTAGCTAAAGTTGCCCTTGGTTCACTTATGCTAAAATCTCATTTAACAGCACCATGCTGAGTTTTAACACGCAGACTGTATTTGATTGGCACAGTGGGCGAGCTTGATTATAACAGAAAGGTGGGCGGAGGCAGCGTCCTGCAAAATCAACCGTCTACGAAAGAGACAAGCTGCTTTGCTAAGTTTAAAACTGGCCCCGTTGCTACATGAACCTTTATAAATGTTCTTGTTGAGTGTTGAGTGTTGTGTGTGAATGCTTCCCTGCTTGCAGAGCTAATTTAGTACCAAGATGCAACGTGTAGCTGTTGGCTTTTCCATGTCGCTCAGCAGCCCAAAACAAACAGCAGGAACCAAACAAGACTATTTTCACTGTTTGTTCTCCATCACTCATTCATTTCATTATCCATAAAACTCTTTATGTATTATGGTAAATTAAGAAGCCATAATTCATTGTGGTTTATGAGCGAAGGTGCTTACAATCTTGCTGCGTCAGAATGGTTTCTTCCATAGTAAGCCTGGAGCAGGACTCATTAAAATTTCAGGGTGATCAGATCACACATCAGTCAAGACAAGATGGAAGTGAAGCCTGAAATATTACATTTTACTTATCGTAGCCTGTCGGAAAGTGAAATAGCCCTTCAAGGTTTTCAGACATGGGACTGGAAATGGAAGTCAAGAGACTCAAAAGTTAACGGACTAAGCTATATTACAACAACAATAAGAAGGGCTTTGACTGACCCAATCCAGGTACCTTTGCAGGTACTGTTTCATTTGAAGTCTAGAATTTGTAGGTTTTAAGTTAAAATCTCAAACTCAAACATGCCTGACTTGAAAAAACTGCTTATAGCAACTGCTAATAAATAGTTTAGACACTAGTCACTGGATTTTCAAATGAATCCGTTGCACATTTAGTACAGTGCACTGTTTTGTGAACGTGTTATGTCAATTTTGAGTTAGCTTGCATTGCTAAGAGAAATTAGCTTAGCAATTTTCCAAAAAAGCCACATTTTTTTTCTATTTGAAAAAATTATTGCCCGAATAATTCAGCTTTTCCAATACATGTCAACATTTTTGTAGAGTAAGATAACACCTGCCTCGTACTGGAACTAAAGGGCCATTTTTTATGAACGTCTTGAACCACGTCTATTTGTAATTCAGTTTTCACAGATTCACTCGAACCAACAAAAACATAAGAACTTCCATGTCCATCAAAACACACCGGACAATCGGACATCACCTACATATTTTAATATCTTAAATGTTTTTTTATCTCTTTATCTCATTGCATTCCTCCAAAAAATCAATCAAAATAAGGAACGTCTGCAGACGCCATTGCACCGATGAATGCAGTCAAACAACACTCCTCTGTTGTAGCTATTCATCTTACCTTGGACTACCCTTGGCTGCATGAATGCTGTGCCAGTCTGTGGGTGGTTCTTTAAGGCCACACACTGTTTTAAGAGTTTAATAATTCAAAAAGCAAACCGTTTGAAACAAACAAAGCTAAAGCTGTCAGCAAAACCGAGACTGGAGCATCATCAACTCCTTTTATGTGTGTTTATGTAAGGAAAGCAGAGCAGGGTCGAAAACAAACATGTTTTGCTTAGTAAATGAAAAAATACCACATGCTTGACGGTGCGTTGAAATAATTTGCATTCACTAACACAAATTTGTGCCGAATCAGCTTCTTCAAGCAGAGATACTCAATGCTTTCTCTGAAAGAACTTAATTATATCAACACTTACACATCAATATACACCAGTAAGCTTGTTTTGGATACTGTTTCACCTCTTGTCACCGTCAAGCAGATGTTAATTGCTTCACAGTGGAGAGTTTTGCGTCACCCGGAAGCCCCTTAATCCACCCGGGCCGACCCAGCTGTGAGGCCAAGATAAGCAGTGACCACCGATATGTGACTGCACAAATTACAGCAGCCGTGCAGATCACCGCCTTGCTGTCTCACCAACGAAGCCCAGGCAAACAAACAGAGCTGCTTTTTCTTCACGTTAACCACTAAAACCCCTTCCCCTCTTTGCCTCTGAAATAGAGATGTGAAGTTTGAGCATGTGACAGGAAATGCCTTTCGGGCTGAATTCGCAGCAGCACGTTTAAACGTGTTGCTGAGCATCAGTGTGTTCCTGGTGGAATCTGTGGCGCACCACAGCTTGACAGTAAGCACAGGCTGGAGGATCATTATATAAGGTGGCTGCGGGGAGATTTAAAACGACCAAAAAATCGGCTTGGCAGAAGCGACACGTCGAGTTTTCTACTCCAAGCTGGCCTGAAATAGTAAAAAAAAAAAAAAAGAATTTTTATAGATTGATAAAACACAGAGTAAGGAATTCCATAAGAAAATCTTCTATTCACATAATCAGCATTGTTTGCCATAAATCCTCACAGGATGATTACATCATGTTTTCCTGCACTCCAGCCGTAGCTGCGAACACTTGTAGGAAACAACATGGTCAGATAATGGCAAGACAAATATGATTCTAATCATGTCACTTTGGAGGTTGAGGGGGGGGAGGAAACTGTGACCCTACTTACATAACCCTCAGAACCAATGAGTGATGCTCTGTTTTTCAGCAGCTCTGCTCCTGGATCTGGTCCGCAGCGAAATGCAGCCAGCGCAGGCTCGGCCGGGGATTACACGTGTCGTGTTTATGTTTCCCGTCTTTCTCCTGCATGAAAGAACTTCACTGTGGAGTTTTATATGGAAAACAGATTCACGGGTGTTCACTGCTTCACAGTTACATAACTAAAGGTTTCATGAGGAGCTGAAGGTGTAGGATCAGAATACACATTCAGGGTCAGCTACTTCTGATTGCCACTCCGCTTTGTACATGGATTCTTTGTGTTGTTTTGTTTGCCTTTCCATTTGTAGTTTTAAGATTACCTTTCTTGAAAGTCAAACCATGGACTGGGTCTGCACAGGACAATGATGACTGAACTTTTTTGTAATATTCCCTCCCTGTTTAAATAATTCATTTTTAAAAAATTGGAATGTAAAGGAATTCATGGTGTAACTTTTTTGTTTTACAAATTTTTCATTTTTACTGAACCTTTAGGGAGAAAAGCTTATTGTCACCAGTGTTATTAGCCATCAGTTATTAAAAACTGAAGAAGAAAACAGGCCACCGATGGAAACCAGCTTGCTGACAGAGATAATCAGGGGCTCTGGGCCAGGAGAGATCATGTCAGACCAATCAGGTTGGCTCCGTTCCCAGGGGCCCCGTATGCTCACATTATAAGTTAATATCGTAAACATAAAGCATGAAGGGAACATGGAGCTTCCCTTATTTAATTTGGTAGAATCTTTTTACAGTTGACACCCATAAAATTATTTCAATAAACGGATAATGGTACGCTAAATCTACACTGCTTTACTATTACTCTACAAATACATAAAACTTATTAATCAATCATTTTTAGCTACTTCTATGAATCTAAGCACGTAAAAAACATTTTAGTGGCAAAATATTGAAAAATTATAATGCTATTTGTTAAAAGAAAAAAAAAATTAAGTTAAATATTCTGTTCAAACAAGGCATGGTATCGGTGAAATCCGATCATCTTGACCCAGTTTTACTGGGCAAACAGAGCGACGTTCTGGCACATTCTTGTAAAAATGCCCAGCATAATATTCCACACCATATCAAAGTTGATAAAAAAAAAAAGTATTTTATCATAAGCTATACAGCGGATCTGGAATCTAAGAGACCATAATTGTTTTTTAAACTGAGACAAAAATATCCAGAGTACTGTAACTGTGCCCTCAGCCTCTATTTCGATGTAAATGTCAGTTGGAAAACACTTGTTACAAACCCCGGACTAATTAGCTCCAGCTTTGCAAGCTGTGCATACCAAAAATGATCTGATTGCTGGAAATTGGCTGCGCAACATGCAGTCACCCGAAAACACAGTCAGTCAGGAACAGGTATTTTAACTCTGCTGATTTAAAAACACCTTGTTCTTACATCCCGACTTTTAAAAAGTTCTGCAAATATGTTCATGGGTGTGAAACTGAACCTTGATTTTTATGTCACGTTTGGTTGCGTGTTTTGCTTGGACAGCGAAACCTGAGCGTGTCGGCTGTATTTTTAAATGTTCGTATGCTAATTTTAGGAAAGCAAAGTGGTTGATTTTAAATTGTTTTAGACCTCTTTAAACGCCTTACCAGAATTTCAAGCTGTTAGTCTTTTTTTTCTCTCTCTCTAGGCTTCAGATTGCTCTTTCCCCACGGTGCTGCTCACTCTCACAGACGAGGGCAAATCAAACTAAATGCTTTAGGAGTGAAATGGGCAAACCTTGTTCAAAATATTACTATGTTCTAATCTTGTGTGGGATTTTAGTCATTTTAAGTTGTAATAAATGTGGGGGTGTTATAATTATGTTTTTCATTTAAAAATTACAACAAAATAATTGATAGGTTAATCAGTCTCAATTTTTAAGTAATATTACTTGGAACCCAATTATTCAAGTTCATTTTAAATATCCACATCCCCAAATGTTACAAAATCATTGTTTTACTGTTTTATATTAACAAAGCTTATAAAATGTATATTCACAGAATCAAAGTTATAATATGATTGATAAATTCCAGTACAATTCTGTACTGCTTCATGACATTTTCCAGATTAGTACGTACTTATCTCTTACTCTTAATATTTTGATGCGGACATCTGTGGTGATATTGACACTATAGGGAGGCAGAAAAGCAGCCAGTGGCGACACATTACAGAGAAAGTGGGCTCGAAGTCGGAGCTGCAGTTGTTGGACTCCTCCAAGTCCAACAACTGCAGCCATTTCCCTCCTTCTCCACCCCGACTCTTCAGCTCCAGGTGCGTTTGTTTACCTGCCTGCTCGGTCCCAGGCGGGAACGCTCGCGCGCTGGGGGGCTCTGCTCCGCGAGCTCCACAAGGACGGGCTGTACCACCGCAATGATGAAGAGGAGGGGGGAGTCAGCGAGTGAAACTGGCTTTTTCTGCCGATATTAGCTAAACAGTAACTCTAGTCCCCGGACGTAAACCATAACACCAATAAAACAGAATTTCTAATGTTTCTAAAGAAGAAGAATAGACTTCAAGGGGTTTTAGTCGTCAGCTGTTATGTTCATAAGTTTCTTTCTCCCCCCTTTCCAAACTCCGAGGCTCCATCTTGCCTTTTGATTGACCGCTACATATGTTTTTTTCTGGGTGCTGAATTTTCCCCCTGCTGGAAAGAAATAAAGCAACAGTGGAAGGCTGGGAAAGAAAAGGGCACGGCGGAAAATAAAAAAAGCGGCGAAGGAGAAAGTATCATAACAGGAGCTTCGCGGGAAAAGTGGGGGGACAGGTTGGAAAAAGAGCTATAAGAAACTGAGCAAGTGGGGAACGAGACTTGCCATATATTTTCTGGAGTCAGATCATTTTATTGACAGCGAGCTTCAAATTAAAAGGTACGTCTCTGCTTATTGTTCTGTTCCGCGTGCACTAAATTGTTGAGAAATTATTCAGAAAATCTTTATTTTGTTGTTGCTCTAATATTAAATTCTGCTTTAATAAATAATTTAAACGTTGGATGCTTAGCTAGAATGTATTCAACTCATACCGTTGTAAAAGAAAACTAATATCTGCTTGCACAAGAAATTGTTTTTAATTAACGCGAGAGCTTGTGGCAGAGTGTGTTATTGATGCGCACATGTGGCACAGCCAGTGGGCTCTTTGTTGCTCTCTCTCCTCCAGCCTCTTGCTACAGTAAATGACCGCGGCATGGCAGGATATAGGCCGGTATTGACATTTTCATACCGCATGAACTTATGTGATATATGGAGCCCCCCCTCACCTCCTCCTCTGCTCTCCTTCCTCCATTTCTTTACTGCCTTTCAGCCGCATCCCTGCTTGTCTTTGTGCAGTTAAACAGTCCACTCCACAGGGCTGCAGCTCGAGGCTGTTTTATGGTTCAGTGCTTTTTATTTACGCGACAGCGAGGTTGTATTTTTTTTTCTCTTCTTTTTTTCCTCCCAATGCGAAGTGCTGGGAGGGAGCTGCCACATTGCCAAATATGTGTCAATGTCAAATGGAGGTGTGTCCCCTGAGTGTGGCTTTAGTGGCCCCCGTGTTGGCTCGGATATAAGCACAAGAGAGAAGGCTGACATAAAATGTCACAATAAGGGTGCGTTTCACGAGGAAACCTGCGGATATATTTTAGATATAGCCTATTCTGGGGCGCGTGAAGGAGGAGGGGGGGCTGTTTTGATTCGGTTTGTCGTGCTACCTAGAGGCGCACACATTCACTTACACAGAAGCTCGCGCGCATTTCCTGTGAGTCATACCGCATTTGGACGCTCGCGCTGCTTCAGCAAAGTGGAGAGCCCCTGCTGGTAGCGTGCACGCGCACACTCATATAGCCTCTTCGAAAGTAGAAATTGTTTTCCTGATTTGTTTTTAATTAAAATGATCTCAGATTTTTTTTTAAATGCGGGCGTACGAGGACACAGGAAACGCACCTGTACCTGCACGCGCTATGACAGAACTGATGGATGGGCGGCGACGCAAACACAGCCACGTTCAGGAGAAAATGCCCCGGATTTTTTTTTTTTTCTTGCTGGGGCGTGGTGTATATTCAGCACTTAAATCTCCATGACTATAACAAACATCGGAATGAATGACTACAGCAGGAAGTTACTTTTTAAAATCAAATAAAAATGAGACGATTTAAAGGGTTAGTTAGCAAATTTTCAAATAGGTGAATCCTGTTTCACTTCTTGTCCCATACCACTTTCTACAAATCTCATTTTATACCTCTTGAGCTGTAGCCTCCTCTCTACATTTTGCCATTCAGGCTGGGAAGTTAGAGAATCCCAATTGAAATCAGCATTGCTTTTGATAAGGTCTGGCCTATGCCTGCAAATGCACTCACAAATGTCATTTTCAAAAGGCTTTTAGTCTGATGTGTTTCAATCAGGCATGGAAACTAGCACCTGCTACTGGCCAGATGCAGCTGAATTTACGAAGTGGCTACTTAATTTGATCAACCCACAAGCTGAGGTGGTGGGTGTGCAATTTGAATATATAGAGAGTATGTAACAATAACTAACTGATGGACGATTGTGGCTTAATAATAATAATACATTTTATTTTTGCAGTGCTTTTCTAAAAACTCTAAAGACAATATAGGAATCAAGCAAAATTCACACTAATTTGTGGTAAGTCAAACTTACAACTATTTTCTTGGAACTAGAAGCAAGCAAATAGTTGTAAGTTTGACTCGAGCTCCCTCCTTATGCTGATGTGCCCCTAGGCAAGGCACTTAGTACCAAGTTTCCTACTGATTGGTGTTTTAATGTGTGGATGTTTGTGAGTGTGGCTGAATGAATAAAGGAGATGCATGGTATAAAATGCTTTGGGTGGTTTATATGACGAGAACAGCATCATATACTTTCAGTTCATTTACCATATTTGGCACCAATGCGCCTCAGTAGACTCTACTGCATTCCAACATTTCTCAACATGAGCCACTGGATTCATATGTCTTTAGTTGGTCAGAGGTATGCATTTCAAAAACTGTACAATTACATAATAAACACACAAAGATGAAAAAAGTAAATTTCCAATACAGGATTTCACAAATATACAACCTCTTTAAAATTCTTGCAAATCACTCAAACTTCATTGCCTCCATATATTGATCATTTGGGTCACTTGATGTAAGAGAGACCATAAAGATTTAAATGAGATGGGGGAAAGTAGTTGTAATCTATGTCGGTCACGCAAAGAAGATTTTTGTTAGCTAACGATGATTTTGCAGGTTCAGCAACGTTCAACAGTCTCTGACGTGGATACTGATGCACTTTTATTAAGTCTGACACTGTTTTCGTAAGGACTAAAACTTCAATTGAGATTAGCATTGCAAAATCAGACAGAGGGACTGTTAAAGCTACCAGGGGTTTAAAATTAAATATATGAGCCAGAATATGACTGGGGAGACGAGCCATGATGGCTGCTAATGTGGATGCTGAGGCTGAAGTTGAACTTGAAGTTGTACTCCTGGTTGTAGTTTTGTATTTAATTACTTCATGTACATGTTCACCATTCGTAAATACCATATTCTACTTATACAGCCTGAACTGGATAAGTGACATGTGAGTGTAGTCATGCTGTCACACAAAATAATACACAAATCCAATGTATTTACAGTTAGCATTAGTGCCTAAGCCAAGTGGAGAGCTTATTTTGTGACTAGACAGAATAATTAATAATTAGAAATTTTTTTCTTGTTTACTTGCTGTAACTTTTTAGAATTTTACCATTTTTTTTGTATCAGTACCACCCCTTGGATCACGCTTCATGTTGGAGACTAACTGGTTCAATTAGACCTACTGCCAATGTTTGTGGTTCATTCTTGGCAGCTGTGGTGAATGGTGCAGTGGTTTTGCAAGTCCCTTGAAAATAAACTCATCACAAACCACTACCACAAGTTTTTGTTGCCAAATTATCCAGTAATTTGTCCAGTACTCTCCTATATAACTCAGATTCCTTGCTGTCATCTTACAGAACCCAAGTAAACTCCACTCAATTACAAATGTGCATAAAAACGCAAGCAGTTGTATTTAGGGATAGAAGATAAAACCGATTTTCGAATCATTGACATGGACGATCACAAACATATGCACTGGATTATATTTAAATTATGGTTAACGCATAGATTACATACACATCATTCATCCACATTTGCATCAAATTAAAAACCACATGGACGAGTGTGATGCTATGAAAATATTTGAGAAACTGTTACATGGTTCCCACCCAGAGGCAGAAGTAAAACAGTTGATCTCCATTGCCACAGTAAACCAGAAGAACATTGGGCTGGTGATGATGAAGCGCCACCTAACTCATACATTTCAAAGCTAATTGCAGAGTTTATTGCAACTGTTGGCACAAAGGATTTGCAATCATTGGAAATCAATGGGAAGTTGTTTGTTTTTGCTCTATGGAGAGTTCTTTGGACGTACCATACCACCTCAAAGATATCTCACCAAATCGGCTACACCACCAAAACAAAGTGATGGGATCACAAGCAGGTTTGCTAGCTCTAACTTTTGATGCATACCCTGGTTTTAGTCAGTATGTCATAGTGATTTACTGGAACTTTGATTCGTGGGTTTGGCTCCTATCCAAGTCATCACTGCAACATTTTCAGCATGACTTGAATTCTTAATAAGTGGCAATTCTTTTTTTTTTTTTGTTTTTCATTTTTAACCCTACAAGCTATCCTATCATGTTCCTTATGTGCTTCAGTTAACATCGTATTGTGATTCAACTTCTCTTGTGCTTGTGAGCTGATTGCATTAGTGGGAAGACATGACTGTACACTTCAAAGGATTTCTGCTCTTCTAATCTGCTACAAAGCATGGTTTATTTATTTAGGTCACGGTAACAAATGGTTCTGCAATGCATCCTTTATGTTCATATGATTATTGAACAGATACTGGGTTGTAGAAGAGGTACCTCCTCTCCATTAAGGGGTATTTCATTTTGAAAAATGATGACATTGATAGGTGTCACAATGACTCTCCAGACTGGAGGACTGCTAATTAGTTTCAACATGCAGCGTTTCATCGATAGACCCATCAGTAACAATCAACCTTGGTGGTACCATGATGCTGGTTATCAACTCTTAAAATTCACCAAGGCTTTCAAAATATGTATTCAAACAAATACATAAAATATGAACAATGAATGGCTTTTGATAAACGTCTTAGAGAAACACGTACCGTAAGAATCACTCAAGTCATTAATAATTAGTAGTTGCAAGATTTCATCCAGGCTTTCAACATATAAATTGATCATATTTCTGAAGCTAGTCAGGTGAGACAAGTTCCATTTATGTTCTGCTGCTCTACTATAGACATACATAAATATATAAGTGAAAGCTATATCAGTCTGAAACCATTAAAATATGTGAATTACATCTATAAAGGTCAGAGATGTAATGGTATGTTCAGTTCAGAAGAGGAGAAAAACCTATTTTCCTCTTGAAAACAAATCAAGCTCTTTATTTTTTTAGGGAAAAAATAAATAATTCTTCTTTTTTGTTTTCAAAAATAGCATAAAAATTTCAGAAATAAAAGTTTATGTTTTAATAATCTGATATCAATATAAAAAAAAACTCAGTCTCATGATTTAATAGTTCATGTATTTTAATGCTTTTTTAAAATACACAAACTAAGTTTAGTTTAACTCTTTTGACATAAATTTACAACAAACGTTATTTCAAAGCAGTTATTCATCACAAATGGTCCCAAATCAACTAAAATTTCCCTGATGCCAAAACACTCCCAACTAAAACTGGCTTATATGTGATTATTCTTTGTATCATTTCAAATGACTTGATTCAAAAATACTTTATTCCAAATAAAGTAATAATCCTTCTTGTATCTCGTGTCATCCCATATTA